AGGCAGGTAGAGCCGCCCGGGCAGCTCCTGCGCCTCTTCTACTGCACGGTCCTGGTCTGCTCCAAAGAGATCGCGGCGCTCACGGACTTCTCCGGTAAGAGCGCCCTCCCTGGCGGTACGCCCCTGGCACCGCGGGGCGCCCAGGTGAGCCCTGGGCTGGGGGCAGCCGCCCCAGCGGGCGCGGCCGGGTGGGAGTAAGGCTGGGGCGTGCTCGTAGGCGCTTTTCTGGTCCGATGTGAGCCCTTGGCATAGAGTGGCTGCGTGTGGGGTGGCGGCAGAAGAGCCCTTACTCCTCCCCGCACCCCCCAGGAGGGACGGGTGTGTCATGTATTTGAACTTTCTCGTCCCGTTGTTGACCTCGTCAATTTCCAGCATCAGGGACCCAGCCCCGACCGTCGCGCGTTCGCGGAAGGCTCCTTAAGCCGAGCCTTGTGCCGCGCCCGGCGCTGTAAAATACACGTGTTGTGGTCGGAGGAGTTGCACTTGGTTCGCCGCCCGCGTAGTCCGTGTGCCCATGTAAGGAGACTAGCCCGGGGACACCTGCCCTGAAGTCCGCACGGACGGGTAGGGAGGGAAGCCCTCGGGGACTGGAGGTCTGTCGGAAAGGCTGTGTGAGATGAGAAATGTACAGAACAGAGAGGAGGTTCCGGGGGCACGACTCTATTGCCAAGAGCTACCGGTGCCCCCCGCCCCCCTTCTGGAATTCCAGTTTCCTTCCCCCAAAATCATGACTTCCTCTTCCCCGCTGAGCGATGACGCTTTTCTTTTTGGGAACTCCATCCCAGGCTCCCAAAGAGGGTCTCAGTTTTGAGATCGCAGGTGTAGCTCCACAAAGTGAAAGCAGTTTCTGGGTTGACGATGGCCATAGGAGCGCGTGTTTGTATTAGTCCTGCACTTGCTTATAAAGTAACAAACGTCCTTGCAACTGTGACAGCGCTGGGACTCCCTCTGGCAAGGCTAGAGGCCTTTGCCCTTCCCCAGCCCAGCTCAGAAAGCAACTCTGAGCCCACACTCCCCCCTCTCCAGGAATGTTCTGCCGAGTGCAGGCTCTGCCTAGTTCCAATAGGGCCCTGAAGTGCAGGGTCTTTTGCAATGGAATTGTGGTAAACAGAGTCACTCCTCGTCCTGTTTGTTAGACTAGTACATGGCAAAGAACATGAGAAAACCAGAAGTTGAGTTTCTAGTTCCCTTACAGAGAATGTCATTGTTAGCTGAGAGCCCTTAGGTCAGAGGTTCTTTGCTTTGAATATTTAATATCAAGGCAGTGTTCCTACCCAGCAAAGGAAGCCAAGATATACTTATTTGGCAAGCAATTCATGGCCCTTAAAATCAAGCGCATAGGACCAGAACTCTGTGGTAATTGTTCTGGGGAAATGCATCGGGCTTTTCCAGGACTATTGACTTTTTTTCCCCTCCATAATAGAACTTTCTTGGCCACTAAAAAAGCTTTGTATTTGCTGATTTAAGCTATGGAGAGCAGTTCTGAGTTCAGCTACCATCTAGCTCAAAATTCTAAGGAAAGAATTGAAAATGGCAAGCCCTTTTTTGTGAAATCATTGCAACTGAACAAATGTTGCTTTAGGCAAATTGCAGTGTAACCATTAGATTGTTTTCATAGATTATAGACACTTAGAGTTTTGTTTCTTTAGGGAAGCAGTTGCAATACTTGTAACAGTCTATGGGTTACCACCCAAGTTTGGAATAGTCTGTATGTAGCAACTATTATATACAGTGGACTTGAGTTATTAAACAGTGGGGCTATATCCTCAGTGGAATAGACACTTTGATATAGATTCTTCTAAACCATATAAATGATAAAAGGCATTTTTTTCCTGCTTTCCAAGTGAATCTGAATTCCAGGGTTTAAAACTCCCTGAGCCAGCGGTAGGTGGTGATATTGCCACCCACAACCAGCCCCCATTTTTCCTCTGACCAGTGATGTTCTCCAGAGATCTGAAGATTAGAGCGAACAAGCCAGGGAGCCTTTAGGGGGGAAGAAAATAAGTAGAATGTCCTCCCAAACCACAGACACACTCAAGTTTAAACCTTAATTCTATATAGTGTGAAATTGAATTAGAAAAGTCTCGGAGAGAAAGGATGAAGCCTTTCAAAGTTAGCTCATGTGACTTGAAATTTAACAAATCTACATTCTTAAGCTCCAAAGATGACCGTCTGGGTGTCCAGTTGAATGCTTCGGTAGAAGCAGTGGCTCCTGATCCCATAACTCCAAACCCCCTGTGGCCTCAGGGCTTGCTGCCCACTTTCCCGGGGAGAGGCAGTCCTTTCCTTTTTATGAACTCAGAGGAGTGTACAGAAACCAAAACAGGCCTCCAAAGAGACAGTGGATCCTCCCCCGTGGAGCATCCCAACAATAGCCAGGGCTAGATAGCAGTGTTTGACAATGCGGGTGCTTGCTTGTTTTTCTAAATAAGGGAAACATCAAACACGAGAATGGAGGGAACTTGGGATTCCTTTGCCTGGGAAGAAGAAGGGAGGAGGACATATCCATGTGAAGGAAAATGCCAGAATGTCAGGGGTCCCAGCCATTGTCTATACAGTATTGGGCCCCCCAGGAGATTAGCCGTGCACAGTTTTGAAAAGTTACTTAAGCCTTTCTCTTCTTTGCAACTCTTCCTTGAGCCTTTTCCTGAGGCTGTCACCTGGTGTAGTTTTCCTGGGTCATTGATTTTTTTCTTTGCCCCGGGGATTCCAGCATCAATCTTACTCTTAATAACCCAGAGTCTGCGTGGTGGCTGGCTCCTCCCCCTCCATGCTCATGATTTGTTCTAATCACCTCCAAGCCCGCTGGTAAACAGGCTCCCCAAACACCCCCCTTCCTCTCATCCCTGAAGGTACTGAGATGCTGCCAGGGGCCACTGAAAGGCTATCATCACTGCATTAAAACTGTATCCCAGCGAAGGCAAGAGCAGTTCATGTAAAATTAGTGCCTCTGATCCTTAATCTCATACTCAATTATGCTTGGCTTTCATCCATTTTCCTCTTTGGGATGAATTTCTGTTCTTTCAACTGCGTTCTTCGATTGAGAATTTGGCCTGGGATGTCCAAATTGATCACTGACTTAAAAAACAAAACAAAACTAACAAACCTCAGAAGTATGTCATCCCCATCATCTTTGTTCAGAGAACAAGACCCAGAGCTGGAGCTTGGGAATGAGAGCTGGGTGGAAGGAGGGATGCTCTCTTGAGTTCCAGCCTTAAAAAGTCTGGGATCCTTCGCATTTTGCCTTGCCGCAAAGAGTGGTTTCTCAGACTGAGTTTGTGCTGATCTCTCAATACTTGTTGATGCTGTTGGTGCGTTTTACTCTGTTATTTCTCTGCTGAGGGCAAGTTGGGTTTTCTTGCCCTCCCTACTACTTTCCTTTCTCTCCTTTTCTTTTTCTTTCTTTTCTTTTTGCTCAAAGAAGTTCAAAGGGATGAATGGACTTATGGGTAGGGATGGGAGGGAGGAAGGGAAGGAAAGAGTGGACAATTGTTCTAGTTCTCAGTTGAATTCCTAGAGAACTCTTGTCTTTCAACAAAGTAGTCATGACCATAGATTTACACATTTGGTTTTGACCCAGGGCACGTAGTGGTGAACATGGGGAGTAGAGGTGGGGTGGGGGAGGGGATGGAAAACAAGGAGAATGGGGTAACCTTCAAAGCCTTCCTTATGCCAGATGTCCCCAGACCTGAGAAAAGATTACTCTGTGATGGAAGTTTTTTGCTTTTATTTGTTCATTTTCAAAGAAATGGGGCCTCACTGTGTTGCTCCAGCTGGAATACAGTGGTGCAATCATAGTCCATGCAGCCTCAAACTCCTAGACTCAAGTGATCCTCCTATCTCAGCCTTCTGAGTAGCTGGGGACTATAGGTACACACCACTACACCCAGCCTGGGTCAGTTTTTTGGGTGTTTTTTTTTTGAGTCAAGATTTTGCTCTGTTGCACAGGCAATAGGTGTAGAAGTGCAGTGGCGTGATGATAACTCGCTGTAACCTCAACCTCCTGGGCTAAGGTGATCCTTCCACTTCAGCCTCCCAAGTGATTGGTACTACAGGAACATACCACCATGCCTGGCTAATTTTCTGATTTTTTTTTTTTGTAGTGACAGGGTCTTGCTATGTTGTCTAGTCTTGTCATGAACTCCTGGGCTCAAGTAGTCCTTCTGCCTCAGCCTCCTAAAGTGCTGGGATTACAGGTGTGAGCCACTGCATCTGGCCCTGGACTAATATTCTAATCCCCACCACTGGTAACCTGAGTAAGCAATAAGTGCCACTTGGTTTTCAGATTATAATATTTTTCTATGGCTGGCATGACAAAGTGTCACAGACTAAGTGGCTCAAGCAACAGCAATTTGCTTTATCCCAAATGCTGTTTCTGGAGACTGAAAGTCTAAGATCAAGAGATGTGCAAGGCTGGTTCCTCCTGAGGCCTCTCTCCTTGGCTTACAGACGGCCATCTCCTGACTGTGTCCTCACATGGTCTCCCTCAGTGTGTGTCTGTGTCCTAATCTCCTCTTCTTATAAGAACACCAGTCATATTAGATTAGACTCATTCAAATGACCTCAATTTAGCTTAACCACACATTGAAAGACCCTATGTCCAAATAAGTCATATTCTGAAGACTTGGGGGTTAGGACTTCCATATATGAGTTTCAGTAGGACACAATTCAGCCTATAACTTACATCAGTTGCAGCCCAACAAACAAACCTGAGTAATAGCTCTTTATTTTCATCCATCAGGAATTTCAGGGTATAGTAATGTGGTAATTCAATTAAGCTTGGGGGTCTGGGGTAGGAACTTGGTCATGATGGACATAGTTGTCAGTTTTGGAGAGGTTGAACCTTGTTGTTTTGATATCTGATAGGCAGTGGGTCCCAACCTTGGTAGCACTTGTGGAGATTAAAACATGTGTCGACATTCAGACTGCACACTAGGATTTCTGATTTAGTTGGTCCTAGGAGAGGCAGACATTCATCTATTTTTTTTTTAAGTTCCTCAGGCAACGCTAATGTGCAGCCACAGTTGAGAACCACCGTCCTGGTGTTCAGAGGGGAGGATGAGCTCCTGTCTATGCATTGGTTCATCCAGACAC